GCCATGATGGAAACTGCTTTAGGCGCCAGTTTATAGCTTATAGTCTTAGAGAACTTGGGTAAACATTTACATGTGGAGATAAATGGCTTGTACCTGTTACTTGGAATTGTTCCCAAGATTTATATTGGTCCTAGATCACTAAGGACATTAGCATAAAGTAGCTACCAAGTGGAAGAAAACCAAGTAAGGTTGTAAAGATTGCAACAGTGAAAGTGAAAAAACTGTAAAAAAAAAAGTTAAATAAATTTGATCCTCAAGAAAGAAAGAAAGAAAGAATATTGGACATTCTAAGTAGAGTACATCCGTTTAGAAAGTCAAGAAATAAAAAAGGCAAAGACAGTCACAATTAGCATACGGCTAAAATGAAAAAGAGCCAACCGTCCAGTGCCAACATTGAGGGAAAGTCTTTGCAGTTGGAGACTCCTGTTGAATCAGTGACACATGTTTTCCACAGATTGGACCAGTACGTGGCAGTGGTGATGACCGTTCCGTCAAGAGAAGAAACCTTCCAGTAGTCCGTTGGCAAGGTTGAAGACACCAGCACCCAGCCTGACGTGGATAACATGAAGGCAACAATCTCCTGGAGCATGCTACTCATACTTCAGAGGTAAGTTCTCCACACAACGGTGGCCTATAGTAAAGATGGTCCTAAAATTGGTCAATGGTTCCCTGTGTAGCAAATGTGACTTGACTGAGCGCTACCTGGTTCAATGGAACGGCTGTGATTTATGGTTAATGTGTCCCAGACTGTTGGGTTCTGCTGGGAGGAGTTGGGCCCTAATCATCAACAAATGGCAAATGATCTATTTCGGGCTCTGACGCCTTGTCAGCGTTTGACTGAGAGAAAGAATTTAAAAAAAATAATTCAAAGAAAGATGGAAAGAAGGAAAAAAAAGAAAGAAAAAAAGAAAGAAAGAAAGAAAGGAAGGAAGAAAAAAGATACAAAGAAAGATTGAAGTTCTCATACAGAAGTGTCAGTTATACTTCACCATTAGGTGGCGCTGATAATCTTCTACATTTCATTATCAAGAATATTTTTTTTTACAAACCATAGAAACATAGAAGGCGTATAAAGCATTGTGATTCGCTTATTTGCATCGAGGTCAGGATTAGAAGTTATGAAAGTCATAAAAGTTAGCAAACAATCAAAGTCAAAGCCTTTATTATTAGGATTAAACGCACGATTCCAGATATACTTTTCTTTCTGTGATCTTTCTGTAAAATACCAGTCCTTTCCAGATAGACGGTGATTGAACATTTCATTGTCTTTAACCTGTCTGTGTCTTTGTTCACATTCCTTCTTACTGACCTCTACTGAGGCCTCTGTGACACAGAAACTCTGTTCAACAATTTTTAACAAAAGATTACACATTTACCACTTGAGCGATTCTGTGTGTACTTTTTTATTCAAAAGACAGTGTATTGAGAATATGTATGAGCTTCAACTGTATGAAATACTCATATTAGCTGTTGAATGGTAATGGATGAATGGTCCTAAACATTACTTAACTTTCAGATAAACCCCCCTTTTTTAAATGTACAACAGCATATACAGTATGTTAATATATGGTACTGTCATGTACCATATATTAACTTTTTTTTTAAACAGCACCAGATGGGTTGACTACTCATTTTTATAAAATAAAAGTGTGTTTGTGAGATTTGACAAAAGACAAATTCACGCTTTATAAAAATAACTAAACTAAAGAGATGCATTTGTGTTTTGTGTTGAATTCTTACCATTGTGCTATTTCAAAATACACCCCGTACATACTCTACACACACAAATGCTTAAAGGACCTCTCATTTTACCCAGTAGCACATCGTACCCGGTAATAAATAACAATATTCATGACGGAGAAACTAGATTTCCCAGTAAATCAGAACATTCTGTTCTTAGAATTTCAAGCGTAGTGAACTTGAACTACTCAACCAAGTCCAGTTGCCTGGCTGTGTATTTGCTAACTCACCTTCCAGCTTAAAGATGGTGTGATGTGGTCTACAGTGCAGCGCTCCAATGGCATTTCCAGCACAGTTATTCCACAGACCCTGCAGCACCCAGGTGGCTGTGATGACGGATGACGCCCGGCTGGTGGCCTTCCATTCATTGGACACGGTGGCACCAATAATGGCCCCCACGCCAACAAGGCCACTGAGAAACGCCAAAATCTGTAAACTTGACATTTGCTGAGTGAGATTCTCGAGAATCAAGCCCGGGCAGGCAAATTACACTGTGAACATGTGTTTTCGCTGTGATGATTTACAGAGACGATGTCTTGGCTTCAACCCCCATCGTGCTCGAGGGACACTGTCTAAACGTAAAATAGTTAAAGAAGCATGAGCTGGCAGTTAGTCATTACATTTTGGTTAGCAATATTGGAATTGCTTCCTTTGTTTTTCCAAGCTTTAGTCTATGGATGACATAAGATATTATATTAAAATAAAATAAAAAATACCGATATAATGTATAATCTTAAAAGCAAGAGGTGTTGTGACAAAGTCCACTTTACTAGATCACCTATTTCTGCATGTTGTTGAAGGGGAACCAACAACCAATGACCCAATGTCACACTAGATGTAGATGTTTTTGTTACCTTGTTCATACGCATCATCAATTATATTTACAGTTTCATTTAATTTCACTGTGCTCACACCTTTATTCAGCATGTTGATTTTTATTATTATTATTTTTTATTTTTTTATTTTTATACCCATTTAGTAGCTTCTCATCAAAGCTGTCAGTGGCCTCTTTGGTTAAATGTTGACAAACACAGATGAGCAAGACTCTGGTTAATGAATTACCTACTCCATAAGGTGACGCTCTGTCCATTTGCACTGCATGTATTGTACGAAGAGCAAGGACCTTGTCCTAAATATTCTGCCATTTTGCATCACCATGTGTGTACTGTACACATTTTGGAATTCTTCATAGGTAAACTTTTTTGCTGTACCTTACTGACACACTTTAGGAAAATAGTTTTTGTATTGCAGTGCCATTTGTTACTGCTGTGTTCATAGCTGAAGGATCCATGAAATGTATTTTAATCTTATCTCCTCAATCTGAAATGCATCAATGAGGAGGAATGCCAAGAAACAGGTCGGCTGTCACTGAGATTTGATCAGCTCCATAAAGGCCACATCTTGTGTCTTCTATTTTTATTTTTTATTTTTTTCTGCACTGTTTTGTGACTAGAATTACATGCAGTATTTTTAAAATCCCCCAAATTTGTTTGATTAGACCAGCCTAAATCCTATTAATATATCAACCACAAAGAGTCAGCTGTGCAAGTGACAGCATTTCATTTTTTCTGCAGGTAATGTACAGAGAAATTAGTTTAGAAAAGTGTGAATTTCATCCATTTATTCTACACTGGGGGAATTGTTGTAAAGGGGAAAAATAAAAGAAGGTTTTACTTCATCATAGTATGGCTGCTGCTGGTCAATAAGAATAGGAATAAAAATTACAAGAATGTCCTGAATATACTCAATAGAATATTATTTCGATCCAGCAAAAAAGTGTCATCACTAAATTTCATATGTAATCATTATTTTATTCTGTTTAATATAACGGTGCTGCAGGCCTGCAGTGCTAGTTGTGACCACCAGGTGCAGTCTGACGACCTCAGAGATGGTGAAATGTGTAGTTAGGATACTTGAGGTGATGCAATGTCTTGGATAATGTGCAGCGGTTACAAAATACAGGTGCAGGTGCATCATTTAATCTGGATACGTGTCTTGTTATGTTGCAATAGCATAAATATGCGTGGCTTGGAGAAAAAAAATTATCAAAAAACTTTAAATGCGCAATAATCACAATATTTGCCCCCATTGCCTACCATTTTTCTTACATTCAACAAAAAAAACCAAAACAAAAACCGTTCAATTGCATGCCAAAAAACAATCTTAGGGCTTAGTACAAGGAGAGCTACCAACTTTTTACAGACAAAGGGCTTAAATAAAAATATACGATTATACAGGCTCAAGCCTAAAAAGTTTAGTTTTAGTTGTTTTTTTTTTGTTTGTTTTTTTTTTTAGTTTAAGTTTTAGTTAAATATCATTAAGCAGTCAAACCATTTATTTGTTAAGTAAACCCCCCCCCCCCGTATTAACAGGATGGCGTCCATGTGGGAAGTGAGGTGATGGTGACTAGGGTCCGCCAATCAAAACCCTTCTGAGTTTGTGACGCAACACAGCTGCGTGTTATGCTCACCCACTTTCTTCGCTGGCAACCTGAGATCCTACCGTTGTTGCTGTTGTCCTTTACACTGTGGGAGTCGGTGCTGTAGCTCTAGAGTTCACAAAGTGGCTCATTTTCAGTTCGTTTTTTATTCCTCGTTAATAGCGACCCTGCTCGAGTCTTCGGTGAAGAAAAGAGCAGAGAAAGTGTTCAGGTCCTTGTTAAACTGCCGCCGGCACCATGGAACCTCTGCGGAAACAGCCGAAGGATAATCCATCGGCTTCGGCTAATCTGCTCTCCACGATTTTCTTTTGGTAAGAACCCCCCCCCCCCCCCCCCCAAATCAAACACAGAGTCACAGTTGTGTGTGACATTAATGGACCACGTAGCTTTAGTCTAGTGTTTGTCATTTTGTAGCCACTTCAGCCTGGCACTAGGCAGAGCCATGGAGCATCCGTCACCTAGAGGTACGGGGAAAGGTGGTGGTGGTGGTGTGTTATGGATGGAAATTCAGCTGTTGTTGTTTATATTTAGTGGAACTTCTTCGTATTGTTTGTTCTCGTTCGTTACAGACTACCACAGTCGGTAAAGCATGCAGTTAACTTCCTAAAATGGTACATCAGCAAATGTTCGCATGGTTACAAAAGTCTCACAAACGACTTGGTTTCATACCTCACAGTAGCAGCTGCAGTTTCACTCAAACATATGAGCTTAAATTTTGCTATAAAACAGTCAAACTGTCACGCAGTTGGTGATTATATGCCTTTAGAATTTTGATGAAATTATGCTAGCATCACCAAACAGTAACAGTGTGTCAGGGACAGGGGTCTGCAATCTTCAACATAAACAATTAAAAGCTAATAAAACAGAGCGCTGCAAAAAAGACTGAACGCAGTGTGTATACATTTAAATACTTTAGTAATTACTGAAGTAAACATTGCTTGCATTTCCAGAAAATTGCCTACCTTATCTTGGTCATGGTGGCAATTTGTTGCCGTGCTGTTAGCAAGGAAAGGGAGCATTTAGTGTGAGGTGTATAATTGGTTAAACCTTAAATTTTTGTGTAAAAGTTGAACTAGTAAAAGTATATCAACTTATTGTACAGGGCTGATGAATCAGTCATGATGATTGAGCAAAGTCAGGCTAAATTTGGTCGAATGAAGAGACCCTTTAGTAAGAGGCTAAAGAACTGCATGTGGCTCCAGAGTCGTGGGTTGCAGACCCCCATTTTATGGGAATGGTTACTTTTCTCTTTCATTTTCTTTTAAAGTTTATGCTCGCAATTGCTATAAAATTAATGAAACTAAGTCTGTCTATTGTGCGACGTCTAAGTCTAACTCTTGGACTAAAAGGTTCTAATTATGAGCTAATATTCATTAGTTTTAAAGTTAAAAACTATTTTGGTGTTACCACTGTGTTAGCGTAAGTGAGCTTCCCTGACCAAGACGTCTCAGCCCTTCTTACACCCTAACCCATGTCATTGATCTTGGCCTAAGGTAACAGGGAAAATATTAGGGTACAGTAAAACACACTTGTGAAGTGAGAAGATGGAATCAGCCATGGAATAACAAAACTAATCAACGAGGAGGATTTTGCAACAAGACCCTCCTCTAGCTCTACGGGGGTTACACAAATGTTCACACTTCCAGTTAAGTTTCCCAGGATCAGGATTTTGGATAAACACTACTACAACAAGTAAAAAAAACATAAATGCATATAAAATTTCCACCACAGAGAAATTTAAGAAGTTCAAGTAAAGGAACCTTTGTGCTACTGCTGTGTGTCGTTGTGGACTTACCCAAATGTAGTTTTTCAGATAAATAGAGCTCTGTAGAAAGCTTGAATGTGTAAACAAGTTAACACCAGTCAGATCAACTTGACCTCACAATGACCTCATTCCTGATCCTGTCCATTCTTGTCACTTCTAAAGAGAATCTTAGCATCTCTAACTCTGCCACCTCCAGCTCCACCTCCTGTCTTCTGCCTATTGCTACTGTCTCTAAACCATACATCATGGCTGGTCTCACCACTGTCATGTAAGCCTTTACCTTCACCTTAGCTGACACTCTGCTATCACAGATCGTTCCTGACACTTTTCTCCAGCTGTTCCATACTGCTTGCAGTCTATTATTCATCTTCTCATATTGTATTGTTGAATATTACAATTTACTTCTTAATAGTTTTATTGCCACAGGTAAGAATAATTCTCCGTGTCTCTCTGTGGTGGAAGTATGTAGGATGTGAAAGAGAGTCCAAAGTGAGAGTCCACAGTGTCTGTAACAGGCAGCACACAAGTTAACACATGCAAACAGTCCAGAATTGCTTGAAAATAAGTGTTTTGTGCTTTAAAAAGGCTTTTGTTAGCGCTGGAGGGAAAATTGCTTGCCCTGCAGGGTCCCCAGGAGGAAAAATGTACCTTGAGCTGGCTTTAAAGAAGAGATAAACAATATCATCATGTCTGCAAAACACTGATGCAAAAGCCTACTAATAAAACTGAAGATACTTGGTCATATATCTAGAAATGTATTTTTTTTAGTTTTCTTTGTTATTTCTTACTTGTAGTTGGCTGAATCCCCTGTTTAAGATTGGATACAAGAGGAAATTAGAAGAAGATGACATGTACCATGTTCTACCAGAGGATGCATCCAAGAAACTCGGGGAAGAACTACAGTGGTATGATATAAAAGTGTTTTTGTTGTCAATTATTTTTATATCCCACCTCTAGGTTGGGATAATCCACCCTATAATCCTCATCCTTAGCTCAGGTATAATCAGATATTATGACCATGTCATAGGAAGCAGCCATACAGTTAAAGTTTGAACTTTTGAAACACAAGGTACTTGTTGACTCACTATCATTTTAGCCAATCGTCACCAAGGGACACTGTACTTCCCTTTTCAACATTGTCTTGACTCACGTGTTGTCTGTTGCGTTTACGTACATCCTGTGCACAGGAAGTGATTAATTTTCCATCAGCACTACAGGACAAAAAGTAAAACCAAGTACACATTGTTGTGACAGTCAGAGTCTGGCCATAACAGGCAGAAATGTTTGCAAAGAAGAAGGGCTTATTCATGTAGTTTGACAGTAACTTTTTATTTTATTTTCATGTAACAAGAACATATTTGACTATGTATTAAATTGGTGTATTAACAGTTAGTGTTTCATGGTACTTAGTTGATGTTTATTTGCCTGACTTGTTTAAACACTTTTACTCCCAAAATAACAATACTATTTTAGCAACCTGTGTCGATATACCTTTTAGGCCTGTCAGTTGAACTCAGCCTCTCAGTATTAGGTTACTGTGACTTCTGCTACTTGAGTTGTTTTTGAATTTGTGACATGTTCTCATGACATGATGTTTTTAAGGTGTTTATTTTTGGACTTTTAAGGAACGACATGCATACAGAATATTTTATATCACATTTAAAACTGACAACATCAGCGTTCCATGTCCAAGTGTTAAAACAGTGACCTTCGGCATGAAAATAGTGAAGATGACGATCTGGCATTCTCTACATAAACAGCATTCACAGTTAAGTCTAAATGGCTGCAACACATGTTTTCTTCTCCACCTGGAGACAATCCACAGAGTGTGACAGCCAAACATGGACTCACTAAGACCCCGTGACCACTATGGTATTTCTCAGCCTCTACATTGTTTCAATAATAGAGACCGACTTTGAGGGAAGTTTAGTTATTCTGTTTGGAAATCAACCTGCTCAACTTCAAAATGAAAAGCACAAACTGTCTCGTGAGACGGGACTCCCTCTCAACACTAATCAGCCTACAGAGTCATGAGGCCTGAGAGTCCGGTTTGTGGTAATGCAGTACTGGGTTAGAAACAGTGGTTTTTTGCTGTTCCCCTGTTAGATCAACGTGGGATTTTCCAGAAATATTTGTTAATTTTGATTACCAGTAATGCCTGGGAAACTTTTTACTGAGCAAGACTAAGTCACTAATCAGTGACTAATTAGAATTTTCTGAGCCAACTGGGATGTGATAAATGTTTGAACTTTGATGGAATTTTATTTGCACAAGCCAGATAAAAACTCATGCTGCTGCCAAGTATTGTATGGATTAGTCTGTGTCAGGAACTAGAGGCTACAATCATTCAAGCTGCATAGCACTACAACTGCAAAAAATCTTCATAAAAACTTGAGGATAAGGCAATGTGAGGTGTAAGTTTGACTAGACTACCTAGAACAGTTTGGACTCTTTTTAACTTGTATTCACTTGTAACTGGTATTAATCTGCAACTGTCCTTTATTACTTAAAATGAATGCATTTGTATCTCTACTTTTGTCAAATAATACATAGAGACTAAATCTATTTAGAAACAAAATAAATTTAACTACATTTTTAAGCTAGCCCATATGCTAACTGCTACTGCTGCTACTATGGCTCCTTCAGACTCTCTCAGTACAGGATGTTTACAAAGATAAATGTTTAAATGACCTATTAAATCTGTTGTGGTAAAGCTTGTAGAATTTTTCCTTCTAGCAAAGCGGTGTTATGGTCCAAATACAGGGTAAAAACATCAATACCATTAACACGTGTTGTTAGCTCCTAGCAGAGTACCCCCAGTACCTGGGGTGTCCTGGTGTTTGCTTTTTATCAGTCAATCTATAGACTTGAGTTACATTATCAGCCAAATACAGTATATCAGCAACCAGTGGTAGTGTGCAGCCCAGGAACTATAACTCACCAGGACCGTTTCATTTTTCTTGGCCCTTTAAAGTTACTGGAATCATGAAGTTCGACAAGCAGCCAAAGAAATGCGCTCACCGAAACTGTGCAAAGTAATTTTTAAGTGCTACTGGAAGGCCTATGCACTGATTGGACTGTACATCTTTGTTGAGGTACAGTGAACAAGACACATACCATCCACATGAAGCAGAGAAAAAAGTTCAGTTTTTTTTATTTTTTAATCTCACCCTTTTATCCATTTACATAGGAAGTTATTAAAGTCGGCCAGCCGGTGCTACTTGGGTGGCTTATAGAATATTTTGAGACCTATGATCCAAACAACACACAAGCTATGTATGAGGCCTACGGTTACGCTGCTGGCATCTCTCTGTCCACCATCATCTTGACTTTGCTTCATCACCTCTACTTTTACCATGCCCAGAGAGCAGGCATGAAGATCCGGGTGGCAATGTGTCACATGATCTATCAAAAGGTCAGATAATGAGCATGTGGACTGTATCTGCAATAAAAACAATGTTTCACCGTTTTTTTCTAACCCTGTATTTTCTCTCTGACCAGGCTTTGTCCCTCAACAATGCTGCGTTTACCAAAACTACAACAGGGCAAATAGTTAACCTGATGTCCAATGATGTCAACAAATTTGATGAGGTAGGGTAGCGTTTTTTTTTTTTTTTAATTTAAATTAATTATAATGTAACTGGCTTATTCATTTTCCATGTGTTTCAATAGGTAACCTTGTACCTGCACTTTATGTGGATTGGCCCCCTCCAAGCAGCCGTTGTGATATTATTGTTGATGAATGCAATTGGCCCATCATGCCTTGCAGGAATGGCAGTTCTTCTAATTCTGATGCCTGTACAGACAATGTTTGGGCGACTGTTCTCTAGACTGAGGTTTGTAGGCAGTAAACAACTCAAGACAGGGGTATTAAGTCATCCCAGCTCCTACCTCAGCATTACGTCGAAAATATCGTCTTTGCGTCTAAAGCAAGAAATGTAGATTTGCAAATATATGTACAGTAGATACATTTGGAATCAAACTAAGTTAGAGTCACCTTTTTGTAGAAGTCAGTTTGATTTTGGAAATAATGTGAGGCTGCTCCTAAGCCATGCCCGTTATGCCAAAGTCCATGATTATTTTAAAAAATTCGATCCTGCAGTCAATAATATTTTATTTTTTTTTTGCCACAGATCGTACACTGAGAATAGTGGGCATTGTTAAGATTGGCATTACCAAAATGAAGCTAACTTTAGCAAAGATAGCTGTGGGTTAAGGACTTTATTATTATTGTTATTGTAATTATTCTTGTTGCATTAATATCACAGTATCATACTAAGAATGTACTTTATTTTATTCGTTTTTCTGCTGATTAGGTCTCAAACTGCAGTCTTGACAGATGACAGAATACGCACAATGAACGAAGTCATCTCTGGCATCCGTGTCATAAAGATGTACGGATGGGAAAAGCCTTTTATTGCCTTGGTGAATGAGATCAGAAGGTAGATACTGATCACGAGAAGAATAAAAAAAAAGTAGTAAGTGTGCCTTCAGTCCTGACAGTAACTGGCAAATGTGGTATTTTTTTCAGAAAGGAGATTTCCAAGATTATGACCAGCTCGTACCTGCGTGGCCTGAATATGGCATCCTTCTTTGTGGCCAGCAAGATTATCATCTTCTTCACCGTGTGTGTTTTCGTTCTGACGGGGAACACCTTGACTCCCAGCAGGATCTTCATGGCAGTCTCACTGTATGGAGCAGTCAGACTCAACATTACACTCTTCTTTCCCTTTGCCATAGAAAAAGGCTCAGAGTGTCTTGTTAGTATAAGAAGGATCAAGGTAAAACCATCACAACTGAAGATATCTATCTATCTATCTATCTATCTATCTATCTATCTATCTATCTATATATATATATATATATATATATATATATATATATATGTATA